TTTCATTCTCTTTTTTTTAATATTTCTATATTGTTCTTTTGCTTACTCTCTTTTTTTTTCTCGTTATTTCATTCATAGCAATACAATTGTGTAGTTCTCTTTCTATGCGAGGCGAGACACAGCTGTGCCAATTGGTTGCTAGGCAATAAACAATTTTGATATACGTTCCACAAACGAAAAGCTTAAGCTCCACTGTTAAAAAGCCAAAGCTGTCTCTAGTTCAGTTATCTTAAACAATGTCATCAGTCCATTAAGGTGGCGATTCCACTCCCTCCTCCTCGCAATAGTTCGAAAGAAGACGCCAGACAACGCTACTCATCCACGCTTGCAAAGAGAGAAAATTGCTCTTGCAAGTACGGTCAGCGTCGCCTCGCGCGTGTCTTGTATGTCGCGTGAGGTGGCGTAAATCAGCCAATGAAAACCAAGGAGCACAAACGCAGACAGAGTATTTCACCTACAATCCGCCAACTGTGGCCGTCGTTTAAACGACACGACGAAAGGTGCCCTAGTGACAGCTGGCAGACTGAAACCGGCGCGTCGTTTTACTAAAGTGTAAACACGCGAATACGTACGTACATACACAAACACACACTCTCTCTGTCTCTCTGACTCGCTCACGTTCGTGGAATAATGATTGAACATGACATCAACCAAACGCTTTGAAGCGTTTGAGTGCACTGGCATTGCCGCTAACTTTTTTTTTTTTTATGTAGCAACCTTGGCACTGGCTTGATGTAGCGTCGCGTGAACGAGTCCTTTTTTTTTTTTTTTCTAGCCACGTGAAACTGCTTAACCTCAGCCAATGTAGCTTACGCCACAAAAAAATTACGGCATATTCACGGGGTGAATGATGATGAATGGGCGAAGCTCCGGATGGATTCATCGGTAAACTGTGAATCTTCCGTGTAATTCGCCCAGTCGATCATCATGTAAAGACGTGAGAAATGCTGTGTGTGTATATACACAAATCAACTTTTATTTGTTCTTAAACGATGGATGGCTTGCGATGTCCCTTGCCTCGCGCGCTCGCACATCGGGATTCTGTCTGCGAGCGCGCGCTGCTGCCGCCTTGCGCTCTCTCCGCTGTGCAGCCTTATCCATCCGGCGACTCCGAGCGCGCGCCAACAGCGAACGGATTTTATTACAACGCTCCCCCTAGCGTACGTCGCCGCACTAAATCGAACGATTGCCTTCAACCAATGACACGCGCCATATGTGACATCATTCCTATTTTATAAGATCTCGCGTCTTTCATCAACTACAAGTACCGCTTTCTAGTTTATAACATCTTGCATCTTTTCATCATCAGCTACAAGTACCACCATCTAGTAAACACTACAAGAACTAAACGAGAGGTGGCTACATACAGGAGACGGTACCGCCATCTAGTGAACACTGCAAGAACTAAACTAGAGGTGGCCACATACAGGGGACGGTACCGCCATCTAGTGAACACTGCAAGAACTAAACTAGAGGTGGCTACATACAGGCTACAGGGGACGCACAGCCCACGCCCTAAGGAGCTTCGCCCCTAAAACAGCCAGGCACATTTCAGCAAAATATAACCTGAGGACCCCCGAGATTATTTGCTACATTTCACCCTCTACAACAAAAGGATCACCTAAATAAAGTGCCTCTTATTGATGATTAGTTGAACAGATGATTTACACTAATATAGAGCAGTTAGAAGCTCCTAGAGCCCATGGTTTTTCTTATTACGTGGACCGCCTAGTATGCGGTATGACGTAGGAAAATCCATTTGTTGGTTCACGCTGTTTCCCGTTTTCCTTTCGACATCTTTCTGCTACCCCCCCCCCCCCCCCCGAACACTCTTACATAAATCAACTTCAGCGCATGGCAGTTAACTACAATTGACGTTAACTCGACGTCACGACTGTATCGTAGGAGTACATATGTAATCATGATATAATTTGATAGATTTTATAGCCAGCACAGCAACTACAGTTAATGTTTCACGAATATTAGGGTCTATCTGAAAAGTAGTTCTGAGGCCTGATGTGGCTTTGTGGTAGAATGCTTGGTTGCCAAGTATAATGCTTAGGTTCAATTCCTGCTGAGACCTTTACACTTATTCTTTGCATTATGTCGATCACCTGTGGCACATACCCGCCCGCAGGTTTGTGCCACTCTCTAGTGGAAGGTGTTTGACAGTGTATGCGAAGGGATTCTGAAAGTATTCATGTCTTGACTATCGCGTCACATTGATGAAATTATCTTATCCTCCTACACTAATTTTGGTTCATGCGATCACGAGAGCACCCAGATGTAAGCGGCTAAATAAATAGATAGCTACGTTGATAGATGCCAAAAGTGCTTGCAGTACGCAAAGAAATGCTTTGCATCGAAAATGTTCGCCAGTGCTACAGTATTCCATCATTCCAGCGACTATATGCGGCGCAGCCAAAGGTCGAAATGGCGGACGAGATGGTGATGTTGCGAGCGTTTACGTCAATGTCGCAGAGTGTAAAAACCCATTCATAGATTTACGACTACTGAGAGACCAAACAGCGTCGCAGTTTTATCACCATGTGACAGCTACGGAGCACGGCTACATAGCGCCACCTGCGTCGCTGGATTGACCGAATATGTATCAGCACTATTCTTTTCATGCGGCCATTCTCGTGAGCATCTAAGATGGGTTATTCTTCTTTAACTATACAAACTTACTCTGAAATTCTCGGCAATTACAAGATTTGAGAATGGCCACCGAAAATGCAGATGTAGAAGTGCGATCTGTGTGAGAATATTTCTGTGAATGAGCGAGCCAGTTTTTTGAAGTGGTGAAGGGACAAGAGGATGTACCAGAGTGGACTATCAGCATCGAAACATTGGTACAAATGCGAGAGTATTGACCAATGGTCAGCTCAGAGCTGACCTTTCTTCATTGTATTTTGTTGTGCATGTGAAATCTGAACAGTCTTCATATGCAAGACAAAAAAGAAAAAAAGCACATTGTGTCCCCTTCGAAGCGGCACTACATAAATACAATACGCACGGCATGTCAGCGTCCTTCCTTTCACAATTTTGAACCTCAGAGGCATGAAAAAACTCAAAGGAACACGCAAAACACGAGCAGCTGAACCACGAAAACATGCACATTACTAAAGGCGCAGCGGGGAACGCTGGTTCTGTGAATGCGTGACGAACGCGCAATTTTCCGGCGTACTCAAACCATTTGCCACTTGATGACACTGACCCACCTGCTGACATGGTGCGAGTATTACTCAACCCTCCTCCTTTTACGATCGGTATTTGTTACGCGCGGCAACTAGACTTACCTTGTAAGGCAAACAATGAAACCTGGAGATATATACCATACCTGTTTTACCCGTTTCATTATGCTTAATTGTGCCACATTCGGCAAACGTTTGAACTCACATGAAACAACTTGATTTTTCATTTAATAGATGAAGCTGCCACCAAAAAAGGCCTGTGAGGTTTGTCATTCATTGAAAATATTTAGTTTAAAGCACTGAGTGGGCAATTAAGTGAGCACCAATAGATACAAGACACAATATGCATCTACTAATGTGCAATGTTCGTTGATAGTTAGCGTCTTAAAGGAAAAAAAAAAGCGAGTTTCTACAGAACTGGCCAGCAGAAAAATTAGCTATATTCAATGCTGTCTTGTAAGTTTTCTAATAAAGTTAGAAGAATTTTCTCTTCATATAATCACAGAAAGGGGCCTGCTGATTTATTATATAGAAGTTCAGAGTATCAGCTTGTATAGTTTTGTCGCTTTATCAGTAATGCAAAGTACAGCCATAAACTGCCCCATGACACAATAATAATTCATCAAGTTTTCGTAAGAGCACTAAGCGCCTTCGCATGGAAAAATAAGTCTAATGTAATCTATATAGTCCCTAAATATTATAGTTCTGGTATCTAAAGACAAAAAGATATTCCTACACAACACTTCATTATTTTGTGGATTTTCATTGGAACGTAAATTAATTAATAATTAGTTTATATCCAATATCTCTTTATATAAACCTTGAATGGCAGTTTTTCTAAAGGCACAGTGAATTCTGCTTTGTTATGTTGAATACTTTTGCTGTATTTGCAGTACAACGGAGGCTTGTACAGTGAAAATGTTTTTGTTGCTCATACTATTTTCATTGCTAATAAGTAACGCTTCCAACCAGGCATTAAAATCGGACGTCATAGAAAAGGGGGGATAGTAAGCTTTCTAAAGTAGCCCACAGCGAGCCCAGGGCATCCGCAAACAATGCATGAGAGGTGGAGTGTTTGCGGCCGGCGTGGGACCATCACCTTAAAGGACTATACTATGTGTGCAGTAGCAGAATTACTGCATAAATACCAAAAGCTTTTGGTAAATGGCTAACTTTGCAGCGATTTCTTGACCAACTGTGGAAGAGGAGTGGTAGTTCCAATACACAGTAAGCCCTAGCTGCAAAAGAAACAGGCAAGTATTATCGGCCCATACATGTCCCTCTATAACATCAAGGTGAAATGAGACCATGAGACCTGAGCAAATGTTTAGCAACACGAAAGTACTCATCAATGCTACTACTCACGAAAAATAGTACTGTGTTGATTACTGCCAAATCCAGAGTCTGAACTTGACAGTGCTATCAAGGAGTCTGAACTTGGCAGTGCTATCAAGGAATTGTGCCATACAGCAGTGTGAATGGCCCGTGCACTTTACACAGCATCTGATGGCACTGTATTACCTAAGCCAAGAGTGAACGTGAGTTTTTTTTTTTTTTTTTTTTTTTTTTTTTTTTTTTTTGAAGGCAGCAGCATGAGGGAACTTAATTGCTTCTGAACAAAAACTAAAACAAAATTTATATCTCAAAGGTGTTACTTTCAGAAGGCTAGTTCGTAGTTAGACCCATTGCAGGAGTGCCATCATAGTAGTGTTTCCGTGTGCACTAGTGCTCACAAAATGCAAGTTGTGCCATTGTTGAAGCAACACATTGAGCAAATAATGTCTTCCAACGCATCTAAATGCATACCTGCTTGATTTCTTGAGGAATCCTCTTCCAGAGGAACTTGGCATTCGGCCTAAGTAGCATAAAGCAGGTGTGATAGCGCTAAGTACACAGCAATCATAAAAGTGAAGATTGTACCTACAGATCATTTTGTAGGAGGTAGATGGCTAGCAGCTGACCATAAGCCTGTGGACTGGCAACGCCATTGTTCGCCTGGGAGACAAAATCATCAAGAGAAAGGGATGTTACATTCACTCGAACCTATTCACTTATTCAATGGAACCTGCCCTTGCTTTAGCGCACAAAAATGAAGTCGACCGAAAAATCGCGACTGCGCCATACGCTGGTAACACAACTAACTAGCCCGCGTCACCACCTTAAATACGACTGCGACTGCTTGCCTCATAAAAACGGACACAAGAGATGGGTTGACAGCATCGCCATACAGTATACTTGATAGATGAAGGAAACATGACTTTTGACATTCCTCGCTGCTTCACAACGCTAATACACAGCATGCTAGATGCTTTATGAAGACGCGCAGGGCAAAATACGGCGTAAAGAAGTGCCGTAAAAATAACGCGAATTCCCCGCAGAATTAATTTCCAGTTGAGCTATTTTGGCACCTTAATCTCAGTATCATTGTCTGTTCTCATTAGTATTGTGTCTAACAAAAGAAATGGGTAAGGTACTCTTTGGCGCACGAGGGCACAGAACACCTACCGACGGTTTAGAGTTGCATAAGATAGTTGCCAGATTTAGGGATCAGTCTGGGGCTCTTCGATTTTCAGGCCTCTAAGCTAGGACGATAGTTATAGCGTAAGAACAGTACTACGACAAAGAGACAAGTCGCCGTTCTGTTCTCGCGCTATAACTCTCCTTGTCGTCGTTCTGTTCTCGCGCTAAACTATCGTCATGTCATACCACCTAGCCCTAACTGCCACACTTCTCTGAGCTAGCCAAAGGTGAGTCGGCTAGTTCTGGTCCGGACAGGAAATAACGTCTTGGTCACGTGCGTGGGGAACCCGAGACAAGGAAAAAATAGAGAGGCCATAACGCCAAATTCGTGAGGCCATCGCGTCGCAAACACCTGCACTACCTCCTAGCGAAAAAGCAGATGAGCACTTCACGATTTTCGGCGAGCAGCCCCCGCAGCGGCCTTGGAAGTGGCGCCGATGGAGTGGTACGCAGAGGAAGAAAAATTCTTCCTTTCTCCATGGAGTGGTAGGTGTTCTCTGCCGGCAGCGAATCAATGGACCTTTCCAGAAATCACAGTGTTGCGCGATCCACAGGGTCCGCTGGTGGATCGGCGCTGGGGCATTATGGGAGAGTGGAGCGCCGATGGTCAGAGCAGACGACGCTTTCCCGCTTTTGCCTGCTTCTATCGCGCGCCGTGAGTGGTTTTAGCTGGTGTAAGGAGCTGCCATTGTAAAGTAACGCTTGTTCTGATGGCTCTTTCATTCACGTATACTAGACTGCGATGTTCGTCGCAAATAACCATATTCATCACTGAACAAGCCGAATAAGGAAAGCGGCGGGGCGGGCATACTTGCTTGGTTCTGGGATGTGATAATATGTGAAAGCCACTGGGCGTTTCATTCATTGCTTACCCGCCAAGGTGGTCTAGTGGATAAGAAACTCAGCTACTAGCCCGCAGGTCACGGAGTTGTATCCCGGCCACAGCGGCAGCATTTTCGATGGCGGCCAAAATTTTTTAGGCCCGTCTGCTTAAATTTCTGGAGCCTTTCACTACGGCGTCTCTCATAATTGCATGGTGGTTTTGGGACGTTAAACCCCAACATTTATGTTATTCATTCACTGCTTGGTGCTACTTCATGGCTTCGATGTTTGTGGTGCTGCAGCCAGGTTGTACCTTTCTTATCTGTGCCCTCACTGTGATTACGGGACTGAGATTTTACACTTGCCGCTTAACCTGTAATTAAATATGCAAATTTATCAAGGTGAGAGGCTTAAATACTTAATTAATAATTCACATGGTCCCCTAATTATGCACCTAAGACGATTTGATGGAGAAGACCATCTTCTGTTTTTTTTCTCAGTCGATGTACTGATCCTACCCCATCAGTCTAAGGCTGTCAGCAGGGTTTTGCCTTGAGTGCGAAAGCGTGTTGCATCGCGGCTGGGGGAGAGAGCACTGGTGTAGCTTGGGCATGGGCCGGTGTGGCTTGAAGGGGGCCAGCGCCCCTTTTGGACCCCCCCGGCCGACGCCCCAGCCTACCACCATTCACAACACCCTTTGAAAACTTGCTCTAACTATCGAGGTTTGCACTGCCTCTAAAATCGGAGGCACTGCAAAACTGATTTTGCATCGCCGCCATGATCAGACCACTTTGCACCAAGCTCGGATGTCGTGCAATGACATGATCACGTGAAGTCACGTGATGTTTTGATAAGGTCAAAATTTTGGCGATGTCTGAAGTCATATATAGATTATCATCACGTGTTCTTTTTTTTTTCGATCACTCGACGTCGTCGCGGGACACAAATGGTCGAGTTTCACGTTTGATGAGGCATCTAAGGTTTTCGCCTAAAAACAAAAATTGACCGTTAGTGGCTTTGGCGTCCCGCAGAGTCGACGTCAACAGGAGTGGTGCAAAAATCACCACGTGATGGCGTCACCACACGACGTCATCGCGACATAACGGATCACCAGAATGTGTAAGGACATCATGACGGTCCCATGATCACGTCATGAGATGTCATTGTCGCTTTACACTGCTTTGTTATCATGTGATCGGCCCACCTGTCCCAGAGACCGAGCAGAACCAGGTGAGGTGCTGAAAGTTTGGAATGCTTCCAGTCATAAATCAGTGCAAAGCCACTTCAGGTGCCAAAAACATTTGCGGGGGAGGGGGGGGGGACAAATAAATTGACTGAACAAAGAGAAACAGACGGCTGTCGTCTTCAAGTTGCCTTGGTGGAATGCATAACCCTGCGTGGCTTTTTTTTTTTTTGCATGGTTTCGTAGTGTTTACTTTGCTGTTTACTGCATGGTTATGTTTACTCGCATCTGATTTTTATTAACCATAAACCTAGAGGCCTCACCTATTTTTGCTTCGTGCATCTCTCTCTCTCTCTTTTTCTGTGCCAAGGCAAAGAGCGCTAGTTGTTTCATGATTATCGATACAAAAGCCACACTCGCCGTCAGTTTCTTTCACATTGTCCGTTTATGTAGGTGGTGCTGTGGCCGTCTATACCTTTCCCACACTGATTGAGGCTTTCACCATTGCTTTTAAAGTCATTCTAACCATCAACAGCCTTCCACAGCAACGTTTTCTTGCTTAATCCATCTGTGCCCAGATAGTGAATGCTTATTAGCACCTTAAGAATGTTCATGCTGCGTAATTTTTTCTTCTGAATACGCGTAAGGCGAGTTCTTCAGATGTTTTGTCCTTGGCCTTTTTGGCAAAGGTGACAGGAACGGTTGTACGTTTTGGGCAGCTTGGACAGGCAGATCTATACAAACGGCAAATTACTAAATTAACATAAACATAAACTATAATGAAACAAGAAATCATAGGAGCTAAAACAGTAAAATAGAATAATGTGTGAATTATGCACACTGACGCTCATTTCGTTGTATATTCCTTCCAATTGATAACTAGTCATGAATGACCTTTTGCGCAGTCCCACAGGTCCAAAATTCTCAAGTTAGTTTTCAACTTACTGTCGTAGAAACAGGAACTATGCAGAGACAGCTGGTTTTACGCTGTTCGAAAGCAAATACTGCATGCGAAGCTTCCGCTCTATGGACAAGCTGTTAGCTGGTTTTTACTACTCTCAGCATCCCAAATGCAAACTTTCTCACTTGCAGCATTTGAAACACGTAATTAGTCTTCAAATATACACAGCATAGTGGTGTTCGAACCCATTTAAAAGGGTGGAATTTCCACATTATGATTCGCAAAGTGCATGGTCTTGAATTGCGTATTGCGCGGAAGTATATCACGCGTGACAGTCCCCGACATAAAGTAGTAATAATGAAGCTGTATGGTCATACTGACAATAAAACAAATGACGAAAGCTTCCGCTACGTGGAAATACGATCAACGAAGCCCAGGGGACTCCCCGCGAAAGCAGAGAAAAATTTCCAATACAATGGGCCTTTTCACGGGTACGTGAGCAATTTCCCAAGTGATTAATAGGTCCAGGATACTAGTGTTTCCTGACTGCATGTTGCTCTTGGTGGTGCCTCTTCTGTGAGTGAAAATGGAAGCAGGGTTATGAGGTGCGACATTCTCGCAATGATGCGTTCGTACGCCCGCGTGCTGTGGAAAACGGGTGAGCCAACGCTTCTGCGTGCAGACGACACTCCGCCGCCGCTAAGGTTTCCCATAATGCTTTGTAGCCGTCGTAGAAGAACGCACGTCAATTTGTGGAAAAAGTAGGTCATGCTCACATCTTCCTTAATTGTCTAATTTTCTCCCTTTTTTAATTTTTTCCCTTAGCTTGGAGTTTTTACACTTTTTTTATTGCCAAGCGGCCACACACGCGGCGACCCGTTATAAAGGGAACGGAACCACATCATCATCATTAAAAGTCCAATAATGAGTACTGCTTCTTTTGCACGTTTTTCTTATAGGAAAGCTATGCGATGCCCAGCTGTAGTGTATACTAGGTGCGAATCGCGTGCACCGCAGGATGTACCCACTGATCTCTACTCGGGAGTGCTGGATGGTGCACCGAGCGCGCGCGGTTGAAGCCACCGGAAGCCGCTGTCGGTGTCCCCGAAGCCACCGCTATGAACAATCACCTGATGCTGGAGCTAGGGCTTTTCTTTCTCTTTTTTGAATGAAAGCATTGTCTCTAGAAAGCAGATTTTACAGTGACCCTTTTCCAGAGTCATGCTTTGAGCGCCCGGTTTCAAAAACTAATCTTCGAAATGATGCCATCCCAACGCTGTTCCTTTCCCATATCTCTTACAAATGACGAATCTTTGCTACCATTGCACTCGTTGCTCTTTTTTTTTCGTTAAAAAATCTATGACAATTTTTTTCTGTTATCTGATTGATTGATATGTGGGGTTTACTGTTTCAAAACCACCATATGATTATGAGAGACACCATAGTGGAGGGCTCCGGAAATTTCGACCACCTGGGGTTTTTTAACGTGCACCCAAATCTGAGCGCACAGGCCTACAACATTTCCGCCTCCATCGGGAATGCAGCCCCCGCAGCCAGAATTTGAACCTGCGACCTGCGGGTCAGCAGCCGAATACATTAGCCACTAGACCACCGCGGCGGGGCTATTTTCTGTTACATCACTGATGAGTAATTGTAAGGTAGTACGATACAGTATTCCGTCGTATTCGGACAGCGCCGCTACAACTAGGTCGCTACGGTGTGTCATTTTTAGTGTAGCGTTAGTCAGCGTTCCAATTGATGCCTAATCGCATGGTTTATTGTATGCACTAGTTCTATATACACCATTCCGTCATACTCGGACAGCGCCGCTACAGTGTGATTTTTCTTGTAGCGTTGGATGGCCTCATAATGTTATAATCAAACACAAAAAATGCCATCACAACAACTACTGCGAACAGATAATATTTTATTTACGCGCCTAAAACGGCCAGAAATCGCCAGCTTACGGGACAGCAAAGGGACCATCCGGTGTCTTCACCAGCGCCCGCATGGGAAAGAGGAAATGCGTCGTCCAACCTATTTAAAGGAAGTCAGTGGACGTACCTGGTGGCACTTTTCACGTATGTTCGCTTCACTGTTCATCAATAATGCATGATATTTGCATGCGGAGCTCTCTGCTGTATGCTTCGTTGGTTTTTACTCATTGTGTCAACTGAGAACACACGCCATTTTTTTGTTCAGTGTTGTAGGCATCGTGTCGCATCTTTAGAAGTTGATTGATATGTGGGGTTTAACGTCCCAAAACCACCATATGATTATGAGAGATGCCATAGTGGAGGGCTCCGGAAATTTCGACCACCTGGGGTTCTTTAAGGTACACCCAAATCTAAGCACACGGGCCTACAGCATTTCCGCCTCCATCGGAAATGCAGTTGCCGCAGCCGGGATTCGAACCCGCGACCTACGGCGTTTTTAGAAATTGAGTCGTTCATACGGAAGGACAATAAACTTGTCTAGTTATCGGACTAAATGTGTATGTATTGTACGGCGTGTGCTCGCTGCGTGTTAGTTGAGTGCGCACTGGAACTGCACACTTTACGTGCACGATCGCATATACAATACAGCGGCACCTTCTTACTGACGTGAAGTACGTCAAGTACTACTAGGCTGGCGTTGCACAGAATAGCTACGGAAGAAGCTCTCAAAATCGTGCATTGCAACACCGACACTATAGACGAGCAAAGAACTGCTAGGCCTGTAGATCAGGAAATCTGACCAAAGAAAAAAAAAGCCTTACAGCGAGCAGAATGCGTTAGTCAATGCCGGGTTAGTCCGAATACGATGATGCAAGGGCTGAATTATTACGATTACAACACGTACCGGTGCTTTCTGTGCTGTTGCACAAAAACACTCCACGAAGTACTTCAGCACACCGTGCTCGGGCCTGCAACGCACGAACAGTCTCGGAAAGGTGTGCTCGCAACTTTACTGCATGCAAATCATACAATACGCGTCAAGTTTACACCGGGGCTATAAGTCCGCACAGAAGCGAATCAGCGCTGAGAGCACGCCGCAGAGCGTCTGCTGTTTTGTTTGCCCCATAAATTTGACGCCACTTCCGCCACACTTCTCGCAATGCATGGGGATAAGATAGGGCCCTCTCCTCAGGTTTTCGTTCCTCCATGCCCGAGACAACCCAAGGCTGCCCGAAGATCGCAAAATCGAACGCTGGGACAGCCAGCGTAAACGTAAACAAACTACCGTCGTGGCAGCAAACGAAACAATGCGCTGCGTGCATGTTGTTTTTTTTTCTGCATTGTCCGCTTGGAAATACGTAGATAAGCTCGCTAAAAAGCTGAACTAATGCCCTCGAGCGTACGCAGTTGGGGTACGACTTCATACGCTCGCACTTTCACTCGCCGCGTCCACGAACGATACAGCCAGCTGGCGCAAAGCTGACGGCTCAACAAGCTCACGTCTTTTTAGTATATGTATCAGTCACTGCACAACATGACGCGAAATCGCGCGAAAGTGATCATGTCCCTAAAATAGCTCGAGGATATATACCTGCTCAGTTATCGCGTCGTATGCGTCGCAAACACGCGTTGACCAACTTACGTTAGACATGCGTACGTATCGGTACCACGAGTGCGCGTCATATATAAAATAAAGTTAGACACGTTTTCGACTAGTTTAGGAACTTGCCTGGGCGTGTTTTCTAGTCCTAAGTGGTACTTTACAAATGTCATGTATATCAGCTTTGATTTGACCCAAGGTCATAGTACATACTGGATGGCATTATTACGAACAGGTGAAAAATGACAAAGACAACGATGAAATGGGTAACGAGAGGATGTATACATTTCTGAATTCAGTCTTTTTTTTTTCTCGCGTCGTATCGTATAATCTCATACCACATATGCGTTCTCTTGCTGTGCGCGCAACAGCGCACACAGCAAGAGAACGCGCCCAGGCTTCTGGAACGTTCATTTTACGTTCATTTTGTTAATTAAAACGGCCAACGTAGCTCACGCACTAGCAAAATGCACCTCGGACGACACCAAACCCTCACAGAGAAGCAACAACTACAGGAGTAAATTTCTCCGCTAAATTTGATAGCAGTGTGACAACAACCACCCCGAAGTCTGGCAACAGACTTATGCAACGCCAAACAGAGCCTTGCCGAATCAACGACGCGTCGTCCGCCGCGAATTTCGCGAGTGCGTGTCCGATGTTGTTCACGAGTACGTGGGCGATGTTGGCAGTTTTAATTAACGGAATTAAGGACGCGTTGCAGAAATCATGGAACATTTTGCTGTACGCGAATGTACAATTAAGAGGTCGGTCTCGATCGTGTCTCTGACTCGGGGAATCGAAGCGCGCAACGACGAGTATGAGTAAACGCCCATGGGGAACTTAATTCCAAGCCCAGAGACAATAACATTGATTAATTGAAATTTCGGCCGTTTGCGCTTATTGTAGGTGGGGCCCCACAATAAGCACGGCAGCTCGCCAGACAGGGTCCCATTTACATGTACGCGCTAGTCGCGCTTAGTTTCGCCTTAAATTTACACTTCTCTTGGCACGTTAAGAAACATAAGAGCGTCTTAAGTTACAGTTCGACAGCGACCTAACATACATTACTTCGTTTGCGTTCAGCTTTGTAGCGGGGAGCGATTCAAAGTCGGCCCCACGACGCGCAAGCCACCGCGTTCACACCCAACGCGCGCATGCAAACTTCGGGGAAGGCGCGGAGCGCAGGACGCTTAGTTTTCGGTTGATGTATGTACTTACCTCCAGCTCTTGCTGTTCTAGGTCGGCAGCCAGCTTGGAATATTCTTGCATTCTGGCATCACCGCTACCATCAACGACAACTGACATTACGAATTTTTCACAATATAAGGCTCCAAGGCGTCACGGCTGCATCCACGGCCACTGCTAACGTATAACCAGCGACCCTCAGCACGGTTTCAGGAGAGAACACCAAAGAACACTCTCAGCCTAGTCAGTCAGCTTTCGTGGCGTCACACCAGACAACGCCTCCTAAATTTCCTGTGCCTGCGGGATGAAAGCGAAACGCCGGTACTTTATGGCGGCGCTGCCTACGTAGGAGGGAAATTTTGTCTTGGCCTTTGAGATCGGCAATAAGTGGGCGTTTGCTACTAATTTTAGAGAATTTCTTGTATCAAAAAGTTGCTTGCTGATTGACGGAGTCACGTACGTAGGGTTACTTATAACTACGTTCAACCATTTTAAAACTTTTAATCGTTAATTTGGTGCATCATCATCAACCTGACTACGTTCCCTGCAGGACAAAAGCTTCTCCCATGTTCCGCCAGTTAACCGGGTTCCTGAGCTTGCTGCTGCCAATACATACCTGCAAACTTCTTAATCTCATCTGCCCACTTAAAACTTCCCCTCCCCCTAAACCTGCTTCCCCTCTCCCCCTAACCCGCTTCTCTTCTCTGGGAATCCAGTTGTTACCATTAATGACCAGCGGTTATCCTGTCTACGCGCTACATGCCGAGACCATTTCCATTTCTTTTTTATTTCTACTATGATATCCTTAATTCCCGTTTGTCCCCTAATCTCCTCTGCTCTCTTCTTGTCTCTTAAGGTTACACCTACCATTTTTCTTTCCATTGCTCGCTGCGTTGTCCTCAATTTAAGCTGAACCCTCTTTGTAAGTCTCCAGGTTTCTGCTCCGTAGCTAAGTAGCGGCAAGATACAGCTGTTATATACCTTCCTCTTGAGGGATAGGGGCAATCTACCTGTCGTAATTTGAGAGTGCTTGGTGAATGTGCTCCACCCCATTCTTATTCTTCTAGCTACTTCAATCTCGTGGTTCGGCTCTGCGTTTATTACCTGCCCTAAGTAGACATAGTCTTTTACAACTTGAAGTGCACTAATACCTATCTCGAAGCACTGCTCTTTTCCGAGGTTGTTGTACATTACTTTCGTTTTCTGCAGATTCATTTTAAGACCCACCTTTCTGCTCTCCTTGTCAAACTCCGTAATCATGAGTTGCGATTCGTCCCCTGAGTTACTCAGCAATGCAATGGCATCGGCGAAGCGCAGGTTCCTAATGTACTCTCCATTAACTCTTATCCCTAACTGTTCCCATTCCAGGCTTCTGAAAACCTCCTGTAAGCACGCGGTAAATAACATTGGGGAGATTGTGTCCCCCTGCCTTACACCCTTCTTGATTGGTATTCTGTTGCTTTCTTTATGAAGCACTATGGTAGCAGTTGATCCCCCGTAGATTTCTTCCAGAATGTTTATATATACTTCATCTACGCCCTGATTCCACAGTGTCTGCATGACGGCTGATATTTCTACTGAATCAAACGCCTTCTCGTAATCTAAGCAGACTATGTATAGTGGTTGGTTATATTCTGAGCATTTCTATATTACCTGATTGACAGTATGAATGTGGTCAATTGTTGAGTAGCCTGTACTAAATCCTGCTTGTTCCTTGGTTGATTGAATTCTAATGTTTTCTTTACTCTGTTAGCAATTACCTTTGTAAATAGCTTGTGTACTACAGAGAGCAAGCTGATCGGCCTGTAATTCTTCAAGTCCTTGTCATCTCCTTTCTTATGTATTACGATGATGTTAGCGTTCTTCCAAGACTCTGGTACTCATCCCGTCATGAGACACCTCGTAAACAGGGTGGCTAGTCTTTCTAACACAATCTGCCCTCCATCTTTCAGCAGATCTGATGTTACCTGATCCTCACCAGCAGCTTAGCCTCTTTGCATGCTCTCCAAAGCTTTTCTGACTTCTATCATTACTGGTGGGGTGTCATCTTTGTTACTGCTAGTTCTTATAGTATTAGGGTCGTGGTTGTCTCCGCTACTGTATAGATCTCTGTAAAACTACTCCGCTATTTTAACTATCCTATCCATATTGTTAGTTAATTTCCTTGTTTGTCCTTAGTGCATACATCCGATTTTCGCCTTTCCCAAGTTTCCTCTTCACTGCTTTGACGCTTCCTCCGTTTTTCAGAGCGTGTTCAATTCTCTCCATGTTATACCTTCTTACATCGCATACCTTACGCCTATTAATCAACTTCGAAAGTTCTGCCAGTTCTATTTTGTCTGTTGTACTTGAGACTTTCATGATTTGACGCTTCTTAATTAGATTCTTCGTTTTTTAGGAATCTTGCCAGTGTCCTGTCTAACTACCCTACCTCCAACTTCCACTGCACACTCCGTAATGATACTCGTCAGATTATCATTCTTTGTATCTACGCTAAGGTTGGTTTCCTCACTAAGAGCCGAGTACCTGTTCTGAAGCGAGACTCTGAATTCCTGTACTTTTCCTCTCAGTGCTAGCTCATTGATTGGCTTCTTGCATATCAGTTTCTGTCGTTCCTTCTTCAAGTCTAGGCGATTCGAGACCGTACCATTCTATGGTCACTGCATCGTACCTCGCCCAGCACTTCCACATCCTGCATGATTCCTGGGTGTGCACTCATTATAAAGTCTATTCCGTTCTTATTTTCGCCATTAGGGCTCCTCCATGTCCACTTGCGGTTTCCTGGTTTTCGGTAGAACGTATTCAAAATCCGTAAATTATTGCGTTCTGCGAATTCTACTAGTAGTTCTCCTTTGGCGTTTCTAGTACCGATGTCATAATCTCCTACTGCCTGGTCTCCAGCCTGCTTCTTCCCTACCTTTGCATTAAAATATCCCATCAGTATTGTATACTGTGTTTTTACCTTGCTAATTGCCGATTCCACGTCTTCATAGAAGCTTTCAACTGAAGCGTCATCATGGCTGGATGTAGGCGCGTAAGCCTGTACCACCTTCATCTTGTATCTTTTATTCAATATAATTACGATACCCACCACCCTTTTATTAATGCTATAGTATTCCTCTATGTTTCCAGCTATGTTTCTGTGAATTAGGAACCCCACTCCCAGTTCTCTTCTGTCTGCCAAGCCCCGATACCAAAGGACGTGCCTATTCTGTAGCACCGTATAGGCCTCATCTGTCCTCCTAACCTCACTGAGGCCTATTATATCCCATTTAACACCCTATAGCTCCTCGAATAGTAGAGCTAGACTTCCCTCACTAGATAAGGTTCTAGCGTTAAACGTTGCCAAGTTCAGGTTCCAATGGCGGCCTGTCCGGATCCAGAGATTCTTAGCACCCTCTGCTGCGTTGCAGATCTGACCGCCGCCGTGGTTAGTTGCTTCGCAGCTGCTGGGGACTGAGGGCCGTGAGTTATTTGACG